CATACACTGCACAAAAGTCTGGTGCAGCTTTGCTTAAACTAGTTGGCACATCTGTACCTCTAAATGCCCTGCGTAGAGACTAGAGACAACCAAAAGTAGTATCTGTTGTAAGAGAGAATATATGCAGAGTACTCAAACTTTCTTAAGCATCTTTTTAATAGCTATAGTGGCCTCTAGGCGGTGTAATGACTTATCAACCAAGGTACCAAGTAACTGTACATGGGGATTCATAGTCTCTTCTCTATGTAATAAGGGAAATAGCGAATATGAAGAACTTGAATTATATAATTTGGCATACCACTTACTAAAGAAACACAGGGCTGGTTGTGAGAAGCAATTTACACTTACAAAAGAAGAGCACCGCCACAGTCTCAGGAACAGGCACCGGAATAGTTGCATTCTGGCATGGTGTACAATCGCATGCCACAGGATGTTTAGGCATCTCAGGCTATTGAGGGGGCACTTGTAGCTAGCTAGTATGGTAGCATGATAGTGCCATGCACCCGCCCACAAATGTACCCGTCCACGAAAATTGCAATCCCAGAAGAATCATCCCGAACAACCAAGGATCCTAAGAGGTCAGTTCATATACCCTCTTTTGTGTTTATGTCATCTCATTTATACCCAATGCCTATGTTTTCCACATTGGTTGCATTCTGCTCTGTCATATCTAGCATGTTCCATATGTACATCCCTCTAGTTGTATACTTGCAATGATTGACAATAGTTGAAGGTGTTTCATCCCAAAAGTTAGGAATTACAGTTCACTAAATCTCCTGGGAGGTTCAAAAATTTGTAGAACAAAAACAGTAAAAAATGAAGATCTGCCAAGTAGTGGAACCAGTACCGAACAACACTGTGACTGTGCTCATAAGTCAATGTCTTGGGCCTGCCTCTTTCAAAACACATTTCACAAGGTGAATGTGTGTGTGTATACGCATGCAGAGAGAGAGAGAGAGAGCACCTCGTTAGAGCACTCCGGTTTGAGGCACCGGTTATCATTGTGCTGATCGAATTGTGATCGATAAAATCATCAATTGCATTTGAAACATCAATGTCGTGTAAGACCACCTCCCTTGCTCGAACCTGAAATCCTCAAAACCTACGGAATCAGGCTGTATTCATCTATATGACAATGCTGTAATTTACATATTTCTAAATGAAAAAAATTCCTACTGTATAATACATTGATGAATGATGCCTTTTTCAATTTCACCGGCATTATCAGGTCAAAATGTAACTTGAGCCATTACTGGTAGCAAATGTAGTATTGGTGCTGGTATTTTAGCACAGGGTCTAAATGGCGGTGTTAAAATTTACTGACCAAATAAGTCACTGACTGAAAAACAGCAGAATGATAAAATTTACAGATTTTAGTGAAAAATTTAGCCAATGTATTTATCTTGAAATACTTGTGCGGCTTAGATTATAATACTTACACAATGTATTTATCTTGAAATACAAAACACTCATACAATATACTCATATTAAATTACAGCACTCAGTGCAACATTTAGAATGTGTTACAACTTTGCAATACTAATATTAAATTAAGAATACCTTTATATAATTGTGTTGTTAATTTAAAGTTATTGCATAGTAGATTTAAACGTATCAGTCAAAATGTGACCTAATTTTGTACAAGAGGAGATTTTGGTTTTTGATTTTTGATTTTTCTTGGGTTGGAAATCTCTTATTTCAATCTAAACTTAATCCAACCGATATAGGCATAATTAAATTTAAGATAAATTGTAGAAAATACTTTCGAACTATTATTATTATTATTTTTTAAAATTCCTTCCTGTCGTGGCCAAAAAAAATATATACTATCCTAAACTAAAAAAGCAAACTAAAAATCTCAACTCTCAAGCTCTTACAGGGTATCAATTTTAGCCCAAGCCTGAGCCCACATCCAATTATGATTTAAATTAAATATATACAGTATATATATATATATATTGATTACTGTATTTACTTTGGATAAAATAGACCTATGATATCTAAATAATGTTTGGACAGAGAGGTAAAAAAAAAAAAACAATTCGTTAATTTCTTTTTATATTTTCCATATTTAGTACCTATAGAAATTGATTAGATTTGGGATTAGGGTTGTGTGGATCCAATTTGATTAGAAAAAAATATATATACAATTTTGATATATAACCAACACATTCTTAGTACAGAGTACAAATCTAAATATGTTATGAGATGCGAACTTAAATTTTTTTTATCCAATCAAATAACATGTGACTGATAAATTTTGAAAAAGACAAATTAATATTTGTGACATTAAGCACAAATCATAACCAACTCAATGGAATTTAAAATATAAAATCTGTAAATTTATTGTAAAAACTCTTTTGCAGACAAAGAATTGAACCCTCAAGTTAATATTTTGCAAAGTGAGAAAATACCATTAGGTTACAATGAATTTGATGCTTAAATGCATAGTCTATTAGTTAATCAATGAATTTATTGAATTCTTAAATGCGCACAGTTGATTAGTTAATCAATAAATTTATCAAATGTGCATTTAAGAATTGGGTTAAGTGCAAAAACCCCCCTCTACTATGGATATAGTGTAAAAAGGTCCACATGCAGTATAAAATTTCCTTATATTATCAATTTGATGCAAATAGGCCCCTGTAGACCTAAAATGACGATAATACCCTCACTTCGGTTGAATAAATTAATAACTATAAATCCAGACCATGTAAAATGACAATAATACCCTCAAGATTATTATATTTTTATTATATTATCAGATTATTATATATTTTTATTATATTATTAGTTTAATTATATTGTCAGTTTTTATTTTCTTTTTTATTATATTATCAGTTCTATTAATATTTTTTAATTATATTATCAATTTATTATATTATATATATATATATATTTATATTATCAGTTTTATTATATTTTATTAGATTATTATATATATTTTTTATTATTAGTTTTTTATTATATTTTAGAAGGAAAAAAAATCCCTTTTTTCAAGACGGCCCCAATCCTCCGGAAATAAAATTTAGACTCAATTTTGTAGATGGAGTACACTAATGCAACAAAGCTTATTGGATTATTTCAATCTAATTAACTATGCTTATTTGAAATAATAATAAAAGAAAAAATTAAAATAAAATAGTTACTATTTGTATCTGGTAATTACTATTCTTTCTCCCAGGCTTACAAGTTTGATCATTCTAGAAGGCGCAAGTTAAGATGGTTAGAACTTAGAACAAACTCGTATGCTATTACCAACAAGGACAGCATGTACTGGTCTAAGGAGCACAATGCCACCTTCTTTAGGTGTGGTCCAATGAGTCCCACTATCTTGATATTTCTGCTTTGACTGGACTGTTTTCCCACTTAAAATCAGTGTATTCCATCCTTGAATGCTGTAACCCTTATCTGATGAGCAAATCCACCAAGGCGCTCTCTTCATATCTGATCGAGAAGATGGGTGCAGCAGGAACTGAGCCCGATGACCATGAACTAAGCTTTCCTCATTTCCTTCTTCAATGGCTTTGTGTTCTGCCCTGTGGTGCTGCCAATGTGACTTCGAGCTATACTCGTGTAGTTTGTGCTTTGCTAAAGGGGAGGGGCAAAATGAGAATCAAAATGGTAAAATAGGTTTTTTATTTACTTTTTGTCAAAAAAGTGTGTATGTACATTTTTTGAATTTTATGAACTAGTATACACATTTTTAAAAAGTAATGATTAGTTCTTCACAAACCCTATATATATTAAGGGATTTTTTTACACTTAACCCAATTTTAATTATTACCAACTTAACAAATCATATAAATATCTTATTGAATATGTCTAGTGTATATTGAATATAATAAACTTATTTATTGACGTCCTCATAAAATATATTTACTACTTTCATCAAAAACAAATTTGATAAGAAAATAAATAATTCTCTAAATAATAATGAATATTAAAATTAGAGTGAAGCAATATCTAATGGATCAGATATTCTATGAATTAGGTTAAATAATATATGAATTAGGTTGGTTAATGGATAGGATTTAGATTCGAATTCAATATGCAAAATTTAAATATGAGTTGATGATTTATTTTATAACTCAATTCAACGCTTAATTTTTTAATGGATTAAACATTTATTCAATTAAGTTTGTTTGATAATATAATTTGAATATCATTAAAAATACTATCAGGAAGAGTATTAGGTAAAATTTTAACTGACATTAAATCACTTATCGCTGAAATTGAAAAGTTTTAGAAATGTAAAAAAATATTTATTTTTTAATTATCACTTAAAATCTTCAGTGTTTAAAATTATCGCCAACCAACAAATATAATACATGATGTATATGTTAACATATGTTGTCTAATGCTTTAATATATAATACTTACATATTCATCAAAATGTTTCTTTAAAAAAAAAAAAATTATAATCATTATTTGCCTAATTTTTTAATATTAACTTTTTTAAGTAAAAAAAACACACAAACGCACCCTTAATGGATTAATAACAAATTAAATACGGTATAAATTCATGAATTATTATTAGTCAGATTACTCTAATCAGATTGGATCAAGTAATAATTTTATCAGATTGAAATCGTATCAAATCTAACTTGGTTTGAAATCCGATCCGTTTACGGCGCAAGTATGATTCTCTCTCCCAAGTCCCAATTATTTTACCATTTCTTTGAATCCAAACAATCATGCAAGACCCATATGGAAAATTGGGTCAATCTATAAGGATCAACGGTGGATGATCAAGCAAAGTATTTGGATCAGGATGAGATAATCACAGGGAATCAAGCTTTCTCATCTCACTTCTGATTAAACTGACTTTTTTAATTTTAATTTTATTTATATTTATTTGTTTTGTTTTATGGTATCTTGTGACTTGTGTGAGTCCTGTGACCTTCCCATTGCTTTAGCAGTAACACGTGTCCCTTCTTGAAGTTTGTCTCATAAAAACTCCATGAGGACTTGTAGTCCTGTAAGCACCATCTCTAACTTTTTCTATACACAGCATTGATTGAAGTTAGATAATTGAGTCAACACGTGTCATGAAATGGGGTGCAACCCACAATAAAAAGCATTTTCACAGTACTCTCTCTCTCTTCTCTCTCTCTCTAGGCCTCCCCGAGCAGCAAGAAAAAAAATCTAGGGAAGAGGCATTACTAACCATTAGTTGGAGTTTCAGGTCTTGGATTTCTCAATTGGTAAGCAGCTTTCAATTTTTTCTCTCTAATTATTTGTGAATTTTCATTGTTTTAAGATGTTCAAGGACTAAATTGTATCAGACCCATGTGATTGTATCTCTTTTTTATACAATTTGTTGTGAGAGATTGTTTGATTTTTGGATGTGTTTTCTGGAAGATAGAAAAGTAAAGAAGACCCATATTTCAAGGGCTGATATGGGTTGCCTCAGATGTATGAAACCCAAGTTTTTGGTAGAAAAAGGCAGCTTTTTTGGGATTTCCTTGTGATTCTTGAGGGTAGTTCCTTTTTCCTAGGTTATTTCACATGATCCCCTTTTGCTTTACCTCCTGAGGTTATGGATAAGGGTTTGTTTTTTGATTTTTCTGATGGGTTTGTTTGTTTAAGGGTTGGTGGTGGGGGTAAGAATTTAGGAATTCTGGTTGGTTGTCACTGTTTCTAATATCTAGTCTCTAGGTCAACTCAAATCTATTCATTGCTTGGTATGTTATTATATGGAATGTTAGATCCATTGTTCTGCACCAGATCTAATAATTTCCCATTTTCATTTTGCTTTATCTTTGTTTCATTCCCACTTTTAATTTGATCTTGGAGATGTACTTTGTGTTTCTTGTATTCTTTAACATAGAGGCTGCACATCTCTAGCTCTTCCAACCTCGTGTGAAAAAGTACTTTTTGATCTGTTGTTGTTCAATTGGTGGGTCATTGAAGCTTTTTCTATGGAGGGGAGATTCAGAAACCTATAAGTTTTGTCACTAGATTCATTGCCTGGAGGAGACGAAGAAGGGGCTGAAAATTGTTAAATAATGTGAGTTTTGGAGAGTTAGGAGGTACCCACTTGTTATCACTATTCGAAGTGCGGGATTGATGGAAGAGATGCCTTCAGCGGCTGCAGTTACACTTAGCTTAAGTAATGCAGTCTGCGATAGCTCTGGAATTGGAAGCCCTGTGGAAGTGACACGACTCAAGCTGGTGACGGAAACAGCAACCTTGTTATCAAGTCCTGCATTGGTGCTGCCTGCAGAGTCTGTTTCTGGCTGGGATGGAAATGGCAGTGATCTGAAGAGTGACGTTAAGAGGGAAACCATGGGAGCCCGAGAACGGGAGAGTGGAGAAAAATCTGATTTGTCAGAGATGATACCCAAAAATGGAAGCAGTTGGATTGCTAGTGATCCCATGATCCAGGAAACTGTGGAAGATGTAATTTTGTCTCTTGGAGATGATCCTTGTGGAACTAATAGTGAGGATTTGTTAGATTTTGATGTGAGTCCCAAAATAAGCTTGCCAGTAGCTGTTGAAATTGAGGAAATTGGAAAGGGTCAAATAGTTGCCAAGGTTATTAGTTTGGAGGAACCAAGTATTGGGCATGAGCCTATTACTGTTGATATCCTGACTGTTCAGTCAAGCCAACGCGAAGAGGATTCTAATGGGTTCAACTTAAAGGCATCTATGCCGATTCTTCAGTTGTCTAGGGAGAAGAATATTGGCAAAGGTGGCGGTAGGAGTGTCTTTGAACTGGACTATGCGCCTCTTTGGGGTTCTGTGTCCATCTGTGGTAAAAGATCTGAGATGGAAGATGCTATTGCCTCTGTGCCTCGATTATTGAAAATTCCTATCAAAATGCTTATTGGAGACCGTGTGATTGATGGAATGAGCCAAAGTTTGAGTCACTTAACTGCTCATTTTTTTGGAGTATATGATGGTCATGGAGGTTCCCAGGTTTGTCCGGTTCCTTACTTTTTCTTTCTTTCTTGTAATTATTGGTTCCTTACTTTTTCATGTATCCTTAGTTCAAATTCAATGTCTTCAACTTCCTTATCGGGGAAATAAATAATTCAATATATTCGATTTGATAATTTACTTCTTTGAGAGCAATACGAAATAATTATCTGAAATTTAATTTTTCCTCTTTTGAATTTTGTAATTTGTTAATTATTCATGAATGGTCCCTTTTTGTGATATATTTATCTCAAATATTGTATATAACTGAACTTATTTTGAAAATTTTGCTATTCTCAAAGATTACAATGTGATAACATGTACTTCTTTCGACAGTTTGCATTATTTGAAATCACACTACTCATACTGAAATTTTGTCGAGAAATGTCTATATTTTTTCAACAACAGTTCTGAATTAGCTTTTGAGTATCACTATGATTAATACGAGGATTGTTTACTACTCTGAATAATACTCTGAATAATACGAGGATTGTTAAATGAACTTTAAAAAGAGAAAGAAGAAGGGCATACGAAACTCAATGCTTCAAAACAAAGCTTTATCCCGACCATTATGTTGGCTACATGAATCCTATTTTGCTCTTTATTGCTGTCTAAGGCAATAAATTCAGTTCTGTCGCTACTGCCATCTCTATCCTCACTGTCTCAAGTGACATTAATTTTGATCTTCCCTTTTCACCGTCATAACTCTCAAACTGTACATGTGTTTCCACATCCTAAATTTGTTTCATAATTTGGAGGTCTTTTTTCATTTAGGTTGCACATTATTGTCGTGAGCGCATCCATTTGGCTTTGGTGGAGGAGTTGAAAATTATTACAGATGAATTGATTGATGGGAGTTTAAGGGAAACTCAGCAGATGGTGTGGGAAAAAGCTTTCACTCGTTGCTTTTTGAAGGTAGATGATGAGATTGGAGGAAAAGTTAGCAGAGGCATCACCGGAGGCAATGCTGATTCCTCAAATGATAATTTTGAACCTATAGCCCCAGAAACTGTTGGATCTACTGCTGTGGTTGCATTGATATGTTCATCCCATATTGTAGTTGCGAACTGCGGTGATTCAAGAGCAGTCCTTTTTCGTGGCAAAGAAGCCATGGCGCTGTCAACAGATCATAAAGTAAGGCAGGTGTTTTATAATCTTTTATCTTTTTGTCAGCAGTATTAAAGCTATTCGTGAGAAAATAAATCTTGATTTTTTTGTCAGCCAAACCGAGAAGATGAATATGCAAGGATTGAAGCGTCCGGAGGCAAGGTCATACAATGGAATGGACACCGTGTTTTTGGTGTTCTTGCAATGTCAAGGTCCATTGGTAGGTGTACTTATTAATTGTAATCTTATAGCTACTGCATGGTTATGGTGTGCGTGCGTGCAAATTATTTGACGCAGTACCCCTAGGAAAGTTTGAAGCATCACTTCTGAGATCATAGTTGTCCTGGTCAAAATTAATAGAAAATTGTTAGTTCTTTTGTCGAGTTACTGCAAAGAGTATTAAATGGGGTCATAATTTTAATATGTAATATTTTTCTAGTGATTTCAAATTGAATTTAATAATTCTATTAATTTTTCTTTAAAGCTTAGAACCCTTTTCACTGGTTGACACTTGACAAATCAGTCAGGAACTTGTCAACAGACTGTTGTGCTTTTGCAGTATAAATTTTAGATAACTTTTTTGTTTCTCTCTCTCTTTTTTTTGGAGCGGTGGGATGTTTGGAGAAAGGAACACAGGCTAATGTGAGGCATTTTAGCAAGTTACTTGATTGAGAAACCAGGGTCATCTAATTGGGTGGGGTGGGGCCTGGGTATGTCTTCCCACAAACTATAGGCTGATTAAACTGGCTTCTTTGTCTGTTTAAAGAGCTTTGTAATTTAAAAAGGGCATCAGCTTACACAATATTATATTGCTGTTACCGAAATTTTTTACTTCCTTCAATATCCCAAACGACACACAGGCCTGCATATTCTGTATGTGGGCTGCATACAGCACACATATATAAAGCACTAATTTGTAATTTTTATTTTACTTATTATTACATCACTTCACCATATTACAGTACCCTTTTTGGGAAAACTACACTTGAGTTAGGAGTCCTAAATAACAAAGTTGTGGATCCAATTTTCACTTGGGCTGAATTAGGCATAGTAATTACACTTGCGCCAAGAATCGTTGATAAAGTGGTGAAAGTAATTTTGTTTTGAATATCTACCACTTAAATGAAAGTGGACTTTTAAAATACACAATTTTGTCATTTAGAGCTCCTAACTCAAACAAAGTGTAGTTTTCCCTACTTTCTTTTGTGTCCATGGGCCATGCAGACTGCAACCTACAAAGAACTGGTTTATTTTCCTGGTAGTTCAAATACCCTTAAGCTATGTTTGGGAGCACCAAATCGGTAAATTTCCTCCAGTTCCAATTCCAATTCCAAGGTGCCGATTCAGTGCTCCCAAACGTAACATTATAGTAAGTGATCTGATGAAGCATCTTCCTTTCAAAGTGACTGGAATTGTACTTTTATTGACCAGATTTATAGGAAAAATATGATGTGGTGATGAAAAATCTGAACCGTGGTAGAAAGGCACCATGTACATTAATATGTAGCTCGCATTTCATGTGTTCCTTTTGGCTTGTTTGTCTGATCAAACACAAATGTAAACATATCACTGATACCCCTTGTCTGTCTATAGGGTTATAGTCAATTATGCATTCCTAACCATACTAGACTTGTTATATGATGAAGCAATTCAACCTTGACCTTAGCCTTTGTGCCCTCTCTTGCCTTTCTTATCGCAGGTGATAGATATTTGAAACCATGGATCATCCCTGAACCAGAAGTCACAATTATCCCCCGAGCCAGAGAAGATGAGTTGCTTATTTTAGCTAGTGACGGGTTGTGGGATGTCATGACGAACGAGGAAGCATGTGAAGTGGCCAGAAGACGGATTCTGCTTTGGCACAGGAGGAATGGGGATAATCCCCTAGTGGGAAGGGGTGAAGGAGTTGATCCTGCAGCACAAGCTGCATCAGACTACCTCTCAGTGCATGCTCTCCAAAAGGGAAGCACGGACAACATATCCGTGATTGTGGTGGACTTGAAAGCTCAAAGGAAGTTCAAAAGCAAATCCTAATGACACTTTCACCCATAATTTGGTTCTAATCTACAGTTATATACAATATAAAACTGCATCTCATCATTACATAGCTTAGTCCATTCCTTTTTCATATGGGCTTAATGTGTGTATGAGACTAGTAAATCAGTAGTACTGTGTGTTGTCAAAAAAACTGTAACAGAATGTCTTATTGTCTGTTTGCACAATGGCAGGTTATATATGGCTTACCTAAATCAAAGCTGTTGTAGGACTTTCTTTCTTTTTTCTTTTTGTTTTCCTTATTATTATTTTATTTTTGGCTGCATAACATCATACTATGATGTTTGATGTGTTAATATTTGTTTTGGCCTTTGAATTACTGATATTCTGCAAGTTGAATTCTGTGAATCGTCAAATACAGATTGTTGATGGGGGCGTTGAGTGCATTTGTGTGTGTGTGTGTGTGTGTGTGTGTTTGTACCTGAGTCCAGTTAGTTCCCTAAGCTTTCAACTCTTTTGTTCTCCATCAGTTTTAAGGTTTGCATTGTGTTGCTTGGGAGAACAATCTTTTTGCTTCTCTTCCATTGTCAAGTCTAATTAGAAGTATTCTAGGACCTAGATGAATAAATAAAAATAGCAAGGCTGTGGATTGAATGTTTTAATGTTAAACATGTCAAATTTTATTGACAACAAAAAGTGATGGAGAACTTTTATGTTCAAGAGTTCACAGGCTGTAATTGCACCACTTTTGTAGCTATTGGACTTGAAGCTTCCATCTTTTACTTTGGAAGGTGAGGGTAAGGAAGTATTGTTAAAGTGTACCACTTGGCTTTTGCGACTTTGAAAGATGAGGAAATATCACTAAATTGGGTTTTGTGACTTTGAAAGATGAGGAAATATCACTAAATTGTTTGAGAGGTGAGAAAATCCCTTAAGTTGTAGTCCTTGGTTTTGCCATTTGGTGGATGGTAACAACTGTTACGTACTTTCTTCAGTACATTTGAGAGAAGGGTTGGAAAATCCATTTATAACCAACATCCCCTTCGCTTCTTCCATTTTATACTCTTTAGAAGTTATGATATGATGTACTTTAGTTTATAATATATAATGTTTTTACACTTTATCCGTATTCTACTAATTGGGTGTCCAAGTAAAAAATTATTGAGCAGTTTGTTATATTTTGTAATTGGATCAAGTGCAGAAAACACCTTATATTTTGTTTATAGTGCGTATTGTACCTTTCGTGTGCGAAAAATATCCTTAATGTATAATATGCCTAATGTATCAAATTTGTACAAATAAAAAAGACTATAGTATTAAATAAATAAATAAATAAGTTACCCACAACGTTTATTAGATTAACTATTCTAGATGGTTCAAGTATTTAGCTTTAAAAAAGAAAAAACAATAATTTATGTAGCAAAAATGTTAAAAGCGTAAAAGAGATATTTATTACTCAAAAGAAAAGAGAAAATATATGTCTCCATATAGTGACAAAATAAGAGAAAATATACTTGAGTGATATGAAGTGTATATATATCTATATATGTATAAATATATAACCTAGATATGCACTAATAAGAAAAGAAAAACCAACATAAATGATTGGAGACTGAAAAGCCACGAACATTATATTAATATATATTTGGGTATTAAATTGGTGCTTTAAATTAAAATTAATTATAAATTAAATTCAAACTACCAATTTAGTCCACCAATTACAACATTAGGGAAAATGAATTCTGTGTGGAAATGAATAAAAAATATTTAAAAACTTTTTTTAAGTTTTGAAGAGAAACGCACAATTGACAAGTAGCAAAAAGTAGGGAAAGAGACAAACAAAACGAAGAGCAAGGTGCTATTTTAAGTTTTCAAGGAGCGTTAGAAAAAGCACTGTTCAACATCAAAGCTGCTATTTCTTCTTCTTCTTCTTCTCTCTACGCATCGTTTTGGGTCTCTCCATTACTGATACACACCCTCTCGGCGGTAAGAATAATATATATTTATGATTTTTATTGAATCATTTATGTTAAATGCTTAATTTTCATTACTCCCAGACTTTTCAATTTTTTCTAAATTTAAATTTCAAGAAATTCTGGTTACGTTTTTGATGTTTTTTTTATAGTAAAAGTTCCTTTCTTTTGACTTCGGCTTACCCATACAAGGGTCTAAGTTTGTGAATGTGCGTGTGTATATATACATATATGTATATGTATATGAAAATATATAGTTCAATGATTAATTCTTAAATAGATGATGTTAAAAAACACAGTTTTTTTTTTTTTTTTAATTAAATAAACAAATATGGAGTGAATTTTAGAGTATATTTGTTCTGATTTTGCTCGAGTTTCTTGATGTTGAATTTCATTCTTATGTCTAAAATCCGAGAACATTAGGTTGGATTGACGGTTGATAGGTATGCTAGACTTCTTTAAAATTCAATGTTGAACTCTTGTTCACGATGTTAGAATTGATAAATTACGAAAGAATAAAATGAAATGAAATCAGAAAGCTCTTCTTTGAGGTGAGTGTAATACCTTCCGTTGCTTTGCCTTGGGCAATTTTTAATTATTTCCCCGTCCCCAACTCTAAGGAAGCTTCAATTTGCACAGGAATGCATTTTGCATTCATGTTCATTACATGTACTTTTTGCATTATATAAAAGGCTTCTGATAGCTAAAAAAAAAAAAAAAGCCTTCTGAGAATGGCGAGTTCTGTAAGTCATCTCTTTAATGTCTCGAACATCTTCCCTAAGTAGAAGAGCTGGCATATGAACTACTTGATGCTACTTATCAAGGTTGTTTATCAAACAACTCTTTTGCTGGGGAAATTCCAAAGAGCCTAACTGGATTACAGAGACTCATCTTCGGGAATATCTCGTTAAATGGGCCTTCCCCATATTTGCCCTTTTTCGTGTATCGGAACGTTTAGTGAATTTTAAGAAGTGGGGCAGTATAATCTGGGTATAACTCCTACTGCCAGCTCCACCAGAAGCATTAAGGATGAAATGTAATAGCTTTTGTTCATAAGATAAGGAGTGTCCATAGTCAACCCAAAGGAAGGTTTTGCGTCTTCATTATCAATTTAGCATCATCTGGTTGCCAATTTCTCCAATATAGGGGCATTTTTTTTCAAAAAAAAAAAAAAAAACCTTAACCACTCCGATGAAGCATGGGTTTTGGTATAAATGTAACAAGTGATTATTTTTTTATTGTGAAAATATTAGTTTAGGCCCTTAGGGCACTTTGGTTTAGTACGTTACTTGTGACTGGGGGCAAGAGTTGGATTAATTGGAGTAATTATTGTTATCATTGTCAATAGTCAAAGGTGGTTCATCTTGCTGTCTATTTTAAATCTGTCCACTTAAAGATGGTTTTGTTGGTCACTTGAAGATAAACTTATGTTCCCTGCATAGTGTGATAAGCTTCTATTGTTTAATCTGTGTAGTCCCTCTATAGGACCCCGTTGAGGAAAAGCTGAACCTGAAAGTGGTTGATGCTTCATAAGATCGGTCAGCTGCTGATTTAAATATAATTTATGTTGATTTCTGTACCATGCCAAATCCAAATTCCATTGTATGAATAAAAATTAATTAACAGTTTGGTGTGGGAGAGAAAAATTCCATTGTATGAATAGAAATTAATCCAATCCTGGTAAGCTTTACTTTTTTCTCTCTCTTTTTTTTTTTTTTTTTTTTTTTTTTTTTTTTTTTTTTTTTGTCTTTTTCCACTCACACACACGCACACAAAGAAAAATAAAAAAAGAAGAGAAAAAGTAAAGCTTACCGGGTGCAGGTTATCATTCTCTATATTAAAATAGTGGAGACTATATCTTATCATTTTATTATTTGTCATAGCCACTAACATGATTTAGTTTAAAATGACCAATCTAATAAATACTTGCACAATGCAGTGCTAAAGAAAGAACCAAAAAATGATCTTTCGTGTATAATCCTGCATAATCTTGAATGTTATCAGTTCTGGTCTATAGACCAAATAATACTATGCAAGCAGATAAACGTGATAAATATCAATAGCTTGGCAAAACTTTTCATGCTGGTTACCTTCCTCTTTCATGGTCCTAGTGATCCTAAGATTATAATTTTTTATGTTTACAATGGCATTTAGATGGAAGATCTCCAAACTAGGAATCAATTGTAAGGGAAACTGTTTAACTGGGAGAAAGAGAAAAAGAAAACTGATTTCAGTCCCCTGAAAGTTTATATTGAATCATGTTTGTCCAGCAGATGAAATTATAAACTATTATAAAATTAATGCTCACCTCCATCACGACATTTTCATCAAATCGAATTTTTTGGTCTCCTAATTCCCTCTGGTAATGCATATCCAGTATTTTGTATCAATCAAGGTCTTCACTCCTCAAATGGGATAGCTTTTTCTTGATTGTGTGTATTATTCTCTTTGGATTAAAGTTAAATTTGATTTGGACAGATCTATCACCTTACATCTCTGCTTGATCATTTTCTCTGCAGTGCCTTATCCAAGAGAGGTCCTGTTTTTGAGCAGATTGATTGTTTGGAAGGAGATGTATATGGGTGAGATGAGGTGGGTGAGACGACATTATAAATGCAACTAAATGACATTTATGTCACCTAATCAGTGTTTACCTATGAAATGCTATGTCCCGTTCTTTGTGGTAAGTGATAATTTTGGCTTTCTTTTCTATTGAGCAAATGGTTGTCTCTATATTTTCTTTTGTTTTTCAATTGAGCACCTCTATCTTCAAAATTTCCCTCTTTGTACAAGACTAATATTCCAATTTGGATTTGGTTCTCAAAATGAACTTTGATTTATAATTTCTCTGTTTTCTTGACTTGGAGACTTCATACCATTGACACAAGATGCTTAAATTAGTGCATATATCATGTAACAGGTGGTATAATGGAAGACTGAGGAGCTGAGGACATCAAATTTCATATATTTCTTGTACACATGGATCGAAGTACTCAACTTTTCTAGATATATATTGTTCTTCATTTTTCCATTCTATTATAATTCTAATTCTTTGCAACAAGGAGGTGCGTGTAGTGATGGGCACATCATTCTCATTTTTCCGTTCCGTTCTAATTCTAATTCTGATTCTTTTCTAATTCTACATCCTGAAGAAATTTATTTGTCTAAGTTTACACTTGGAGAATTCATGTCTGTAGAGATGTTGAATCAGGGCATTGTGTAGTGATGGGCACATCATTCTCACTTTGTATAGGATATCTGATGATGTGAATGAACTGTTCTGAAGTGCTTGGTTAAAATGGATTTCGAATGGTAAAAGCCTCGGGTTTATGATCCTATGAAACTTCAATGATAAATTTGAGTTGGTTTCGTGTGCGTGTGTTTAAATTTCCTGTTTCCAGTGGTCTAACTCTTAAGTTTTGCTCTCTTTTTTGTAATAACTGACGTGTTAGGAGTTTCTGGACATCCCATGGAGATGAATTTATTTTATGGTGCTCCATATGACGTTTCAAACAAGGCCATTTTCTCTTCTGCATCATTTGATTAAGTTGTAAGTTTATAGAAAATGGCCTCTCCACATTTTCTTAGTATCACCTTTTGGTGAAGACTCACCCTCTTTTGGAAAGTTATTTTCATTTCAAACAGAATCCAATTTGAGATCTAGGTTTGCCACTTCAAAATACAAATTGAATGATCATGATTCCATTGAAAGATCTAATACCTCTTTTAACGAGAGAACAGAAAATTGGGGTTTATGTTTGACATAAATAGGTTTAGTCAAACCAGGTAGCACACTACAGACTTACTTTGTTTTGAATTTATTATTTACACGGAGAATAAGTAGCATTAATGTGTGGAAGAAAAGCAATATGTTTAGCCACCATAGCTGAGAGAGTAACAAATTGTAAAAAGAAATGACCATTATCCTGTGTTGGTCTGACCAATGAGGGGTGCTGGGAAGGGTATATTGGATAAAAGGTACATGCCTGACCTCTAGCATTATTTGCAAGAAGTGGTTTATGTGAAACTCTTACCTGTGTTCTCATGCTTAAGAGTCATTTCTTTTACCGTTGCATCAAGTAATAGCTCCTAAGAATAAGTTATAAATCTTTATTGAACAAATTTTGCTAACACTGGTTGACAGGCGTGCACATGCGGCAGCCTGCTGACTCACCCCTTTGAATTCCTGTCCTTTTATGTCAGGGTAGGGATGAGTATGAATCTTACTGCTTTATGCCCCATTTATTTTTTCCACTGTGGCTTTATAGTGAAAAAGCAGATTTGTCTTTGTTGTGCTCTAGCTCATCAATTACATCCGATATCGACTCAATTTGGCATTTTCTAATTCCTATGGTCAGGGTGCAAGCTCCATGCACGATCCTCATTCTTGATTTTTCTATGCTTCTTCATATGTTAGCAACTTAGCAACCATTTACTCTTTTGTTATGATGAAATATTGATATTATTTTTTAGCAGCTTCTGAGTATAGTCATATTGCTATCCCAGCCCATATAGAACACCTGTTAAGTGGTTATAAGACATTTAGCTGCACCTGATGACCCAACTACCTAGAGTGACATCATTCCGATATAAGCACTGCATAATTGACTTTAATTCTCTGTTCTTCCTTATCAGCTTGAGCTAAATACGTTGCATTCTTCTGCCTAGTATCAGATGCATACGTCTTTTTTTTTAAAAAATTGTTCGAATGTTGATGCTGTTCGAAGTTGATTGATAACCTTAGTTCATTTTCAAAACAAGGAATTTTTAGATCTTTTAATTATACTGTGATCAATGCAATACTTAGTTCTTCATGAAGTTCACAAATTCAATCTTTCCACTGAGTTGACTACTGCCTGAATATATTTCATACAAGTTTCTTTACTTGTTTAGCACAGATCTTTTTTGAATTCTTGGGATGGAACAAAATTTTGGTTTGGTGATCTTTCTCTGTCAACCTATGGTGGGCTTTGGCTGCTAAGCAAGCTTAATGTCACGGGCCTAGAGATTTGGCGCAGCGGCACGGCCCGTGCGGCACCAAGGCGTTGCTTCAGCTCGCGCAAGCGCCCTGGTCAGCCACCACGACCTACCCTCCCAAGGATACATGCTGACTGGTTTCGGCCTACCATGGCCTCGTCAGGGGAACGGCTCCAGCTCCCGACCAGTTTGTGCAGGGATGGCCAACTCCCTTCTTCATAGTCAAGTCCACGACCAGCGACAAGCACCTCGAACTGAACTGAGTCGACCTGCCTGAACTCTGAAGAGGTACCATCCTGTGGTCCTGCACGCCCCTTCCCTGGAACCATTCCCAGTCAATGAATGTTCTTAGCCAACCAGCATGCGTATCTTCTATACTCATGGCGTCGTTAGGAATCGGATCGTGACATTCTCCCCCACCCAAATCCTGCGACGCCCTCGTCGCAGTGCGGCGCTGACTCCGCTGCGTCCAACATTCCAAAGTCTCTCTCCTCCAAGTGGTATGCTCGCCTGCCCACCATCGCTTCCTTGTACAACCCCTGGCTGCACTCGCCCAATGATAGGGTTTCGGGCTAAAGGGACGCCCACTTCTTCGGAACGCAACCCCACGTTATGCCGCCTCCGCGACACCCCGAGCAAACAAGCGCCCTCCGGCTAACTTGATACCCGCCTTTCACAACGGTTTGCACGCCTCTTGAACTTGCAAAAACTTTGGTGCGCGCGGCCCTCCGGCCTAAAGGACGCGTCTTCATGGGGAGATGGAGGCTCTCCTCCAACAGCATTGATTGCCCACCGACGCTTTAGTGCACCGTCTTCATTCTCAAGACCCCCGGATCGACAAGGGGGCACACCTCTGTGCTTTTCCCCAAGTTCTGCTCTGATACCATTTGTCACGGGTCTAGAGATTTGGCGCAGCGGCACGGCCCGTGCGGCACCAAAGCGTTGCTTCAGCTCGCGCAAGCGCCCTGGTCAGCCACCACGACCTGCCCTCCCAAGGATACATGCTGACTGGTTTCGGCCTGCCATGGCCTCGTCAGGGGAACGGCTCCAGCTCCCGACCAGTTTGTGCAGGGATGGCCAACTCCCTTCTTCATAGTCAAGTCCACGACCAGCGACAAGCACCTCGAACTGAACCGAGTCGACCTGCTTGAACTCTGAAGAGGTACCATCCTGTGGTCCTGCACGCCCCTTCCCTGGAACCATTCCCAGTCAATGAATGTTCTTAGCCAACCAACATGCGTGTTTTCTATGCTCATGGCGTCGTTAGGAATCGGATCGTGACATTAAGCTCAGCTGACATCTTATCATGCTTTTATTTTATTTTACTTGATATGCTCTTCCAGCTTTTTGTATCGTCGGTCCATGGTTTTGTTCACACTCTTCAGTCTTAAAATGAAGTTTCCTGTTGCTCTGTGCAATTGAAAATTTTTCTTCGCCGTGGTTGAATTTGGAATTCAATGATACAAAATATGTGCAATATCAGTTAGGTTATTTTGGTTTGGGAATAATTAACAATTATAGAGTGACACAAAATGGACCAGAAATCTTTTTTTTTTTTTTTTTCCTAAATGAATGCGCCAGAAATCATAGAATAAAAACCATGAGAATTAATGTCATACCCATTCTACTACATCTGTTAGGGCCCACAATTTTGTGCTGCAAATGGCTGACGTGGATATGGTTTGGTATTCATATAACTTGTGTTTATGCTATTGAAAATGTATCTAAAATAAGTACTCCTATTTGCAATCAAAGAACCATGAGCCATCTGTCCAAGTGTTTCAAGATGTTTTGTTAATCACAGGGCTCTCAACAGATGTCAAGGAGGGTGAGAATGGCAATTACACCCTCATTAGAGATGTGGAGGATAACCAATTGGGAATGTTTGACCAACCGCTGCCTTGCTTTGGTTGTGGAATAGGATGGTTTTCGTGAGTTTTTCTGCACCTGTGCTTCTTCTAATTCTCTCTCTCTCTCTCTCTCATGGGCAGACCTTTATTTGCAGTCTTTTGCTTGGATTTGTATTCCCACTGATGTGGTACTATGCAACAATTCTTTACTTTGGGAACTACTACCACAAGGATCCTAGGGAACGAGCTGGACTCGCTGCTAATGCAATAGCTGTAAGTGCTCCATATGACGTGAAGTTAGGTTTTTTTCTTTTTCTTTTTCTTTCTTTTTTTTTTTTTGGGAGGGGGGGTTGATTCCCTGACAGAACTTTACAGAAAACCTCAAATATATAGCATTTGGACATTTATAACTTATCTCTTCCGCACATGCATACTCAAGAAAAAAATGTCTTGTAAACTTTGCTAATCTGTGAATCTATCTTTGCAAGGTTTTCTATGTTTAGAGCTCTACTACAAATACATAACACTTACTTCTCTAATTCTTCCTCCATTTATCTTTTCTTTTTTACTTTTTTGTTATGCGATTTAAAATTTCTTTGGAAAGAGTTGAAATTGAAAGCTGGACAAGATAACCTCCTGAAAATTCAATAGCTGGCACTAGTTCCTCTCCTCTTACATTGCATGTCAGTAGTTTACATCCTTAAATCCAGGGCATTTATTTATTTACTGCATTTCTTACAATTACTTTGCACTGCATATTGTATAGACAACTCTGTTTTTTCATTAGAAACACTTGCAGTCCAGACAGGAGTCAAATAAGGACGTAGTGTAATAGGTGGTTGCATGAATTGCAATGGTAAATAGCAAATAATATCTTGCCCCACCCTTGATGGGGTGAGGTTGGGTTGTTCTCAGGTTTAAATATTTCTTAGGAAAGAAAAATGGATTATGTCCTCCCTTCATCCTCACTTCTAAATACTGATCTCAAGTATGATTATCGTTCTTGCAGGCTTTGATACTTACAATATCAGTGCTGATCGCAGTAGCAGCCATTCTGCTCTAGTGCTAGTTCCCGCGGTTCTGGTGATCCTACCTCTCACATGAACTAGGATCCGCTCTTCGCACCTCTCATATGACCGGCCTCGAGCAAAAGTCCGAGTGGATCCTTTTGTAGATAAAGCAGCCATCTCATACTCTTAACAGGGCACAACTGAAGAAGAATGTTTGTTTAGAGGTTCATAAATATTAGAAAGCACTTGTTCTTGGCTCCCTATTTAGCAGTGTGGACAAATTCCAACTTGTACCAAGAACTTGTGACGTACGCCTTGTCATTAGGGTATTTTAGTATTTATGTAGCAGTAATTCGTGTGTGAAATGGTAGATATTGCTTCATCCAGTAACGATTTTCATTTGTTTTCGAAGAATTTTTCATACTAAATTTTCAAGAGTTGGTTGATTAGTTAAATAGCATACTTTTTACTAGAATCTGATAATTTGGTTGGATATGAATGTTAGGAGAAAACCTAATAGCTTAGGTTGTGTGATTTATGCTTAATTTACCTAGGTAACAGGCCTACCTACCAACAAGGTTGCCCGGAGAGGCAAAGAAACTAACCTGTGAAACAAAATAAAAGAGAGAATTATTTAGTCATAGTTGAATCTTACCTGGGAGAAAAACTTGGGACTTGTTTGGTTCAGTTTTTCGAGAGCAGTATTTTTGTCCAGAAATTTGTTTGGTTGCTAATTTTTTAAGAACTCAATTAAAAAAGGTTAATTTTTAAATAACTGTCTTTGTCTTTTATAGTTATCCAAAAATAGTTTGTGTACTGTTTCAAAAAAAAAAAAAAACTGAACCAAACAGTCCCTTATTTCCCATCAACAATGGCTTTTTCACCGTCATCAATATTGCTTATTTACCTTACTTGTCTGCCTTGGGTTGGCATTAATTGCTATCTCACCATTTATTTATTTATTTATAAGGAACACTTAATTATGATTTAGTTAAGCCCTAATGGTTGTATATTTTTGCTGGAAGAAAGTAACAAAACCGTTTCCTTGTTTCTGAAATGGATTCTGTTGGTTTTTTTTTTTGTTCTTATTTCTTTTCCGACTCAATTTCTTTTACATAACAGAATTGGTAGATTCGGAATCAAGGGATTCAGCTAAACTTTTGTAATAGATACAGAAGTAAAACTCGCAAAGCTAACTTGATGTAAAAAATACTTTGATTGTATTCAGTTGTATGAAATTGGAGTTTTGAAATTAGAATTTGTGTAATTCACAAAATTGAACCAATTTTTTTTTCTAATTCCAATTCTAATTCACACTTCGGGTGTGCTTCTAAACACATTCTCCCTTTCCAATACTGCCCCCATACGAGTTAGTATGGAGAATACCTATATGTAGATGGTGGAGATTGTGGGATATACCCACATAATGTGTTTGGCCCTGCATTTGGTCCGTTATCATCGTCATCATGAAAATTATGGGCTTAAAAAGTTAAAGAAAGTCGGTGAGATAAGTGGTATTCTATATTCCAATAAAATATGTTACCTTACTGAGGCTCAAACCTCATATCGAAGAAGATTATATAAACACTTACCTGAAATCTTAATAATTCGATATCATTCTGAAAAACAATTTTTTTTGGAGAATTCATCATGAGATATCTGTTCCATGCAAGTGAATTTTCAAGAGACTGCTCAAGTTTTAACAAAAGCAGCTATACGGGGTCGTATCCACTAAAAATAATATCATAAAAAAAAATGGTTACAAATTTTTTACTGCTACTTAGTATTAGGTTTGAAATATTATCTAAAAATATCAAATTTAAATCTTTATACCATGTCAAAGTAAAGTAACCAACCAATGGGCCAGTGGCTTAGCGGTATCAGCCTCTTACCTCCGAAAAGAAGGTCAGGGGCTCAAGTCTCATAAGAGATAAATGTGTGTGAGTAACAATTAAGAAAAAAAAAAAAGTAACCGTGACATATATATTTGGAATAACATTGGATTCGAATGGGAAAGTGAATAGGTATATATGGGTTGAGTATTAACTCTACCTAATAACTTAAATTTTTAGGTCAGATTGCGAAGCACCAAGCACTCCATTCAAATGCATGGTTAGGTTTGAAACAACTTAAACAAACAAAGAATGAAATTTGTAGACATTTTTTTTTTCTTCGTTTCATTTCCATTATTAATGAATGAAATTTTTTTGTATTGAGAACTTTAACTATTTTTACTTAGATTCTCCAAATAAAAGATTAATAGGTAATTAGTTTAAATCAAATGAGTAAGAAATTGCACATTTTATAATATGAATTTTTACAAAATTTTTTTAGGAGATGTAAATTCATGATTTGCATGTATGATGTATCGTGGCGAAATTCTTGTGCACTTAGCTAACTCTTTAACGCGTAAGTACACAAATATGCTTTATTTAGAGCCTTTTTCTCACCTTAAATATTTTATTTAAAAAAAATAAAAAATAAAAAATAAAAGGGTACCTGCTTTGCTATGGGCCTTTTTTGGGGTTTCAAGTTTGGGCCTTATTTGCTCTCGTTTGGTTGGACCTACTAAGGATCCTTTTATGATTTCACGCTTTGTAATGCCTATTTCACATGGGCCAAGTTTGGACCTGATAGAGGCCCAATATTTACATTTTCTTTCTTTTATACAATTGCTTTATTTATTTATTATAATTAAATTTTTTTTTTTTTTTTTAAAAAGAAGAAGAAGAAGAAGATATGGAGTGTCTAGTGATTAGAGAAAGAGAGAATCAATTGGAGGCTAAAGATAAGTGTGGTGTGGGGCAGTTTTAGAATTCTAAAATTCTATACATAAAAATGAAAATATAAAAAAATTTAGGCAGAGAAGTTTTAAAATTTTTTTTAGATATAAAATATATTTGTTGAGTATTTTTAAAATTTAACCATGATCAGAAAATATCAAATCAAAATATAATTTTAAAAAACTTAAAGTGAACAATGTAAATTAGTGTCCTTATTTACGAGAAATAGATTACTCATTCATAGTAAAAAAATTGTAACTTTTAATTTAATTATTCGAAGATTTAATAAAAAATGGTCTCCCAAATTAATTGAATTCAAATTATTGAGTTATTTTAGAGTTTGGATTCTATAATGATAAATTTTTCTATTTTTTCTCTATTTCCTATATTAAAAATTATTCGCAGCACAAGAAAGAAAATGCTGGCACAAAAAACAAGGAAAAAAAATCTTTCTATTCGCACCTCCATCTCCATCTCCATTCCGGACGGCAATTGAACTTCTATCTTCTACATCTTGGATCTTAAGTTGCCTTGCATCTTAAAATAAACAAACACAATCAAATAAGTAGCCACATAATTCGATATAAAATCATAAACATAAATTCGTGAAGTATAGTATTTTTTTTAATCAAGTTTATTTATTAATAACCAACGTTTGTGCTTTGATGTGATATAATATAGATATGTACTTTAATTATTCATTTTATATTTAAAAAATATAAAAAATGTTAATAAATTAACCACAAAAAGAAAACTTCAAATTTTTATTATAATATAAGATTATTTTTTTAAAAAACATACAGTATTTAACGTGGCACACATCTGATACTTAAAAAAAATACAAGTAATATTTACTCCAATTAAGTCACATACTTTACATTAAATGTAAAGGATGGCACAATGTAGTGCACTCACTCGTACTCATAGCCGTTAGCAAAGTGCAAACAAAAAATAAAAGGATAATAAGTGATACCCTCTCCCAACTTCATACTCTCAGATATACAAAAATATTCATACTCGCATCCACTGATATTTTCACCACTTTCTTTAGTGTAAATTAAAAAATTAGTGTAAATTAAAAAATTCAAAGAATAAATTATGTTGGTGTGTTAATTATCATGTCAAAATAATGACATCAACTTTCATACATTTTTTTTTTCTTTTCTTATTTATTCACTTTTAGAAAAAAAAGCAATAAAAACGTAATTTCCATATATTTTATGGTAAGAATTTTTGAACCAATAAAAAATGAAATTTTATGAATAAAACAAAGTTCTACATAAAATTGACATAGATAATGACTCTTATATTATTTAAAACGTTTTTTCAGTTATATTATAAATTTTTAAATAAACCTTATTAAAAACTAAAAGGCAGATGTGTGATCGATCAAATTCTGATTTTATAAATTGGGAATAAAATATTGTCTTCCCATCTTTTATAAATTGAGTCTCCTTTCTTCCATTTCTTTTCTGCAAGTGACAATTGGAACAACTGTAGCCGTCAACGTGTCGAACAACCATCGGTAAGGATCTGCTTCTCACCCTCCCCTCACCAGAACAAAAATATATTTCTAGGGCAAATCATTTCAGCCTCCCCAACCGCCTCCATCGTTCTCAACTCTGAACTTCCCTCTCTCTCTCCCTCTGCAACTGCAAACTACAAAATCTACAAGAATCAGAAGTTCAAAACCTATATATTTCAGTTTATCTATCTGTCTGCAAGAATTAAAACCTATTACCTATATCAAAGCCCATATCGGCATATCATTTCAGATTGTTCCAAAAATCAAAACCCATATCTTTCAGTTCCCATCGCCCGCTGTTCCAGTTCGGGTTCGCCGTTCACAAGCTTCAGCCGCTGGCCCGCTGTCTCTCAACTCTCAAGCTTGCCTCCCCCCCTCTCTCTGCAACTGCTAACTTGTATGTATGGGTTTTGTTTTAAATTTTTTTCTAAATCAACTAGTCAAGGTCTGTGATTCTTGTTTTGCAAACTAAATCCTATTTGGTGAAATTTTTTATGGTCTTTTTTAAATAAATTTTTTTTTTTTTTTAAGTAACAAATTTTGCATTGCATTTTGAGTAATCACCGTAATATACATTTTATTTCAGCAAAACAAATATATAATTTTTATTCCTATAACTTCTATTTCTGTTTTTTTTTTTTTTTTTTTTTTTAAGTAACAAAATTTGCATTGCATTTTGAGGTAATAATATACATTTTATTTCAGCAAAACAAATATATAATTTTTATTCCTATAACTTCTATTTCTGTTTTTTTTTTTTTTTTTTTTTTTTTTTTTTGTGTCAATTATGTCTACAAGAAAATTTGAATCTAGGCATGAAAAAAGAAAAAAAATATAAATCTGAATTGGATTAGAAATCTGCAGAGATTGAATCTGAAACAATTTTTATCAAAATGCCAAGCTTTTTGAATATGGAAATATTTTCCGAACTAAAAAAAAAAATTCATAACAAGAACTTTGACAAGCAAAAGTACTTAATATAGGGTAAAGCTCTAAAGTTACTTCTTGAAAATTAATATACTTGCAAAAAACATGCTTTTGAGTGAATTCCATAGTGTTGGAAGGGGCTTGCCATGATCTGCCTCACGCACTGCTTCCACTAGTATATTCTCAAATAGGATTAGTAAATTGGTCAAAAGAAGAGATAGGGTACTGAGTGGTGAATTGTTCAGAAATAAATTGGTAATTTATTATTTAGTATTTTTATTAATTACCCAAATAAGATTTTCTATGCCTTAATCAGTCAATTGTCTTAGTTAACTAAAATTGAATTAAACAACAGTTGATTTTGGTTGATATATTTTGATTTAGCCCACAACATTGATAAATCCTAGATGTTTTGTTTCACATAGAAATACAATTTGTGTAATCCACGAAGGATATATTCAATCTTTTTGCCATATTTTTATTTTCAAATTTTGGTTTTTGATTTTCTTTTGTTATTAGAATGTAGAATATCAGGATATTGATTTGGTAATTTTGATGATTATTCCTGAACTGATGCATTGTACTTTGTTATTGGATTAATTTAACATAAGAGCTGAGTATAATATGTGCTAATCACACCTCTTTCTACGGATAGGTGTCTAACATTTTGACTAAAAGCATAATTGGGTTTTGTTGATACATGATACATAGAGTACTTAGATGGTGGTGTTAAAAGTGAGATTGTGAAACCTCTTCCTCACAACTTGAGTGTTTTCTTATTTTTAGGGTTAGCATCGGGCCTTAACATTTAGCAAGAACAAGGTTCAACAAACATGCCTCCTCAGTCATCAGGTAACAAACTTTTACTTTTTCTAAAATTTTAATTGGCATTTTTAGCTATTGGTTACGTTTATTTATTCTTGTTTTACATACTGATTTTTTGTTTTTGTTTTTGTTTCTACATACATATATATAATATTGTTATGATGTGATGCTCGAACACTTTATTAATGGAAATTAAAGACTTGGAAGTTTAGTTTTCAAATTCAGAATATATGTTTTACAAGTTTGTTAACGCTTTTAAAACTTTTCCTCTTTTGTTCAAATAATATAGGTTTATTTTCTGAAAGAAGAGAGTTGATGGGAATGGGTGGAGTGGGCAAAAAAAAAATAGGTACGTTTTTTTTGCCTAGCTAATTGAATTATATAAATCCCCTTACCGTTGTAGCTGTGATGTTGGTTTTAAAATGACCAATTATGATAGGAAGTCTCTTTTCAATTTATTTTAATCAAATGTATATCTATGCAATGTGTGATTATAGATGACGATTCTAGATGAGGATGTTAATGTTAACGTTATGAGGATGTTGATGTCAACGTTGACTCTAGTGATGACGACTGAAGATGTTGATAATATGTTGATGCATTCAAATTGAGTCAAAACACTTAAAATTGAAGGAAATTTAGAGTTGAAGACATACTATTGAGCATAGTGTCTAATTCTTTTAGTTACAAGAATCTTTGGTCACTTCACACACGATTTTTCAGTTACTGAAATTTTGAAACAATGGTGTGTAATATGATTCATCTACTTGGGCTTTCTTCTTTTTAATCTCTCTGAACTCAAATTTTATCTGTGAAAATAGAAAAAGAAGACTCTATGCAATTTTAATTTAACTTTATCAGTTTGAGCATTGACATAGCTTCTGAAATGTTGAAACTGAAACAACAAAGAAGAGGGAGTCCACCAATAAGAATTACCAGTCTTAATAAGTTCTCTGAGCGTCTTGACTAATATTGGCGTGTGAGACTTCTATAGATATGGACTTGTAGAGAGAAAGATATATGGTTGGGGGCACAAAGTGTACTACAACTGTGAACCAATGATAGGATTGTGAGCTTTTGGCTTGTTTCATGCACATCGGATCTAAGAAGTGTACAACAATGAAATGGAAAGCTCTGATGCACTCAAAGTTACAAACAGAGATAATAATTAATATTATATATTTATAACTTACTTTACTAATCTAATATGATACTACGTATATCATACATATATACACATATATATATGTTTGTAACTCTATACTTAGACTTGGATATATTTTGATTTAGCCCACCCCATTGAGAAAATCTTGGATCCGCCCTTGGGCAGTGGCCATGGTGGGAGGAGGCAGCGTGGAGCGATTGGATATTCTAATTTTTGAGTTTTTTTTTTTTTTTTGATAAATAATGCTACAATAGAGAAAGTACTTCTTGTAAACAGTGTAGAAAGTAACAAATCCTCACTTTCTCTTTCCTTCATTAAATTTGAAAGTACTTTCTAAAAGGTGAAAAGTAAAATTATATTAGTAAACATATTTTTCACTTTAACTTCACAATTTTAGGAATTGACCGTAAAAATTAGTAAGTAAAAGCGTTAGTAAATAGGCTCAAAAGGTGTCCATTTCTCCTCACTATCCGTTAATAATCTAGTATCCACATTACTGATAATTTATAGAAATTCGTTTTAGGCCCCTTTGTTTTCACGTAAAAGATTTTCGTAATATATATATATATATTTTTAATGTAAAACTTTTTACATATAAAATGTTTTATTTTCTTTTTATTTTCTGGGAATTATTTATTTATTTTTATTTTTTTTGTTTGGCTTCTAATAATGTTTTAAAAGTGAACTAAATCCTTTGGAAAGCCAATATACAAAACTATTAGAGATGCATTCCTATCATTTTAAAAAATATAGAGACTGAACCTAAAAAGGTACTGAAACATTATATTTTACAATGTAATTCATTAAAAATAACCTTTTAGTAAATTTTAGTTACTTTTTTATTGAAGTTTTGAAGACCACGTAACATAAGAATTGATATTTATAAATCTTAAGTTGATTCCTTGTACATTGCTTAAGTAATAAAAATCTTTCTTGTGATTTTAATTATAACACTGATATATGTGGGTGTTAAATCTCTGACTTAAAAATGTTAAATTATTATTATACCTATTGTAGTAGTTATTATTTTTATTGTAAAATATCTGTTTTTTATTTATTTATAAATAAAGTAATATTTTTGAACTTTTTTAAGGGTATGCTTGATTTTTAAGTAAATGTTGAATATGACATTAGTAGATGACATTTTTCGAATTTATGAATGAGGGAATATGTAAAAACCCTGGACTGACTGACTGAGGAGTATGTTGAACTTCCTCTGTGCCACGTGACCAGTAACAACCCTGCACTGCCTGTAAAATGCTTTACACTCCGTCACAAAGTTTCCCCTCTCAGTCTCACACACACAACACACACTCTTTCTCTTTCTCTCTCTCAAATTTGCTCTTCTTCTCTGAAAACAAGAAAATGGCGCCTAAACCTTCATCACCACCACGATGAGGACGACGACCACTGTACAGTGGTTCTCTGTATGTTTCTGATTTCGACCCACATGTGACGGAGGACGAGCTCCGGCGAGCATTTGCAGTTATGGGTCCGATATGCTCTGTTCGTTTTTCCAGAAAAAGAAAATGGGTATCCGATCAAGTAGTGGGGGAAAGTTCTTCGTTCCCGTCTTGTTGGCGCCGTCTACACTCCACGAGCCATCACCGAGAAAACAACTGTAGTTCACTTCTACAATCGCAAAGACAGTAATAGTCCCTTTTCTGTGTCTATATATATACACACACATATTATTTCTAACTATGTTGTGTTTCTTTGTGTTTGTTGAAATCTTGATGGGATATCTCTTTAATTTGTTGATGGATTCTACTTTCTGATAAATTTGTAAGATAATGTTCTTCATTTATCGGGAACAATGTTTAGGGTTTGAGATACTCTTTTAAATGAAAGGGTTTAGGGTTAAGGATATGCCATTGTTTTTATTTTTTAACCTCTTTGAGAAAAAGCACTGCTACATACAAACACGTACAGACCAGCCCGCATCTCTGTCCTAATTTAAGCCCATCGCATTAGAAGTCCATTTCAAAGAAGCTGTGAAAATTGTTGATCAGGTTGTACTGGCTCTTTCTATTGAAAATGTTACAATTATAGCAACGAATGAGGTTTGTGTTTGTGAATTAGAATATGCCAGAAATTAATATTGATTCACATGATCAAGGGTTCAGATTTGAAAATGTGTGACTATAGACATCCCTCTAGAATATGAACTTAATTGAAACACAATGTAGCAAGTTTCATTTACGATTAGTCTTTTAATGGTTATGGGTGTTGTAGATTAACATGGAAAATTTGAGCATTAGAATTAAATCCTTTGCTTTGTTCTGTTTTGTCTTGATTCAACTACTTGTCTTTTTTTAATCAGCTGCGAAGGCTCTAAATTCTGCTGAAATCACGGGGAAACAAATGTCAGTCATGTGGTATGAGAGAGATGCTGCAATAAGAAAGATGGGTTTTTCCATAATTATATTAGTGAACCTTGAAGCATCAATTAGCTGCTATGAATTGGAGTGCCTATGTAGTAGCTATGGGACGGTTATGCGCACCAAAATTGGTGAAAAGGTTGTGAAGCAAACTTATTTTCGCTATGGAATAGTCCTGTTTGATGAAGAGGAATTTGCCCTTAAGGCTATTCATGATCTTCATGGGATGAAGTTCAATGGCAAAGAACTGTAATTTCTCAACCTTAGTAGTTTGATCTTTTGTTTTCGAATGGGAATCTCAACTTCTTTTTTTGTTTTTGGGCAATTTTGTTCCAAATATGTGAATGAGAGACTGAAGAAAAGGAACTCAAAGCGCAAGTTTGTCGACAGGCACAATGAATTGTCAGTATGCTCATATGTCTATGTAAAGAATCTAAATGAATCAATAGATGATTTGAAGTTGTTTCAGCTTTTTAGTGATTGTGAAGGGATAATGTCTGCAAAGGTAATATATAGCACCCGCGGGAAGAGTAGAGGATTCGGATTTGTGGGGTTTTGCAGTCACGAAGCAGCAAAGGAAGTCTGTTACGGTGAGCATTTTTCACACTATTGTTTAATAATTTGTTGTTTTAAAATTCATTTCATTGAGTTCTTACATGTTTTGCAGGAGGTGAAATACTACGAATGGGAAGGGAAAGTCTGAAAATCGTGCAGACATTTCAATTCGGACCATTAAATCTTGGCACCAATGATGAAGGAGATGATGAAGAAGATCCTCCAGATGACCTTTTGAAGGCTGGAATGATTGGCAGAGAGGGTCAAAATGATATCCAAGAAGGGCTGTCCGTGTATGTTCTGGATGGAGATGAACCTGATTTAGTAGACACACAGGAAATGTTAGGTTGCAATACTTACGATGAATTTGCAAGAAGATTGCATGCATCGTGGGCAAAAGTTTTGAATGAAGAACCTCTTGAGATTGTCCACCTATGCCGTTGACCTGGCCAGGTCACATCTTAAAATTTGATTATTTTGATGTGATGGAGGTAGGGCGTGTTGTCTTGGATCCATATGCAGCGGACTGGGATGAATTTGGATCTATGTTGGATAGAGTATTGGCAACTCCTAGTAATTGAGCAGAAACTGCTGAAAGAACTGTCAATAGAAGGTAAGAAGATAGTGATTTTTTTGGAGCGAGGTTGACGCTGTTCTAAATTGATTGATAACCTTAGTTCATTTTCAAAACAAGGCATTTTTAGATCTTTTAATTACACTAGGATTATTGCAAGAGTTAGTTATTCATGTACTTCACAAGTTCACTCTTTCCACTGAGTTGACTACTGCCTGACTATATGTATTGTTTGAATTTTTGAATGGAACAAAAATTTTGTTTTGCTGATCTTGCTCTGTCAACCTGTGTTGAACTTTTGCTGCTAAGAAAACTTAAATTTAGCTGACATGTGATCGTGTATTTGACTTCATATGCTCTTCCGGTTTTTTATGTCCAAGGTTTTGTTTCACTCGAGAGTCTTAATGTGAAGTTCCTGTTATGTGGAATTGAAATTTTTTTGTGGCTATGGTTGTTTTGAAATTTCATGATATCAAACGTGTGCATTATCAGGAAGTTAAAAGCTAAATTTCTCTAGAAAATCTGCTGATGATATTGAAGTAATGTTGGTTTGGGAATAATTTGCAATTATAGAGTGACACAATATAGACAAGAAATCATAGTATAAAAACCATGAAAGTTAATGTGATATCTATTCTACCACATCTGTCGTGCCCATAATTTTGTACTGCAATTGACTGAGGTGGTTATGGTTTGGGATTCATATAACTCAGTGTTTATACTATTGAAAATGCAATTGAAACAAGGTACTTCTATTTGCATTACAGGTGTCAAGGATCGAGAGAATGGAAATTAAACCGTAATTAGAGACGTGGAGGATAACCAATTGGGAATGTTTGACCAACTGCTACCTTGCTTTGCTTGTGGAAAAGGATGGTTTTCATGGGTTTTTCTGCCCTTGTGTTTCTTCTAATACTCTCTCTATCATGGATAGACTTTTATTTGCAGTCTTTTGCTTGGATTTGTATTCCCACTGATGTGGTACTATACTATGCAACAATTCTTTGCTTGGATTTGTATTCCCACTGATGTGGTACTATACTATGCAACATCCTAGGATGAGTGTTCTTTATGATGTGAAGACATGTTATGTTTGCTCGTTAACTCCATAGAAAATCTTAAATGTATATATATAAGCAATTTGACCTGTGGATCTATGTTTGCAAGGTTTTCTATGAATTTCAATGGTTAAATAGCAAAGAATATCTTGCGATCCCTTGGTGGATCTACGTTTGCAAGGTTTTCTATGAATTTCAGATATGATGATTATTGCCGGTTTTGATATTTACAATAGCATTTCTGATCACAGAGTTTAAAAATTAAGTAGCAGCCATTCTGTTCTTGAGCTAGTTCCCAAAGTTCAGCTGTTCCTAGCAACCTTTTACATGAACAGAAGAATGCTTGTTTGGAGGTTCATAAATATTAAAAAGCACTTGTTTTTGGCTCCCTATTTAACATTGTGGGTGATTCTATCTTATACAAACAACTTTTGATGCCCTCTTACTTGTTATTTATGTTGCAGTAATTCATGTCTGAAAGTGTAGATATTGCTTTATTCAGTAATGGAATCCTGTGTTCGGAAACATCTTGAACAAAGATTTTAGTTGTGGACATGTTTTTTTCTTTTTCTTTCATATAGACATTTGTTTTTTTCTGGTCTGATTGAAGACAGTGACGAAATCAGGAATTCAGTTGAGGGGAGTGATGTTGAAGAGTAAAGAAAATTAAAAAAAAAATTATTTACATTTTTTTTAACAAAATAATAAATATAAGAATATAATACTGATTGATAATATTTCAGTCTAAGGAAAGAGAAAACTGTATGTATATATTAATATTAAAGACCCAGTGCATAATAATTAAAAAAAAAAAAATCAATTACTTTCATTGACATTCTTGTTAATTAGGTTGTGAAATGACAAAATTAACTTTATAATTAAATATAAAATTAAAAGTTAATAATAATTATTTTAAAATTATGAAAATATCCCTTGGTGGGTCTTCTTCATCTTTCACCCTCTCTTTCTAAAACTCTCACCTTTCTCCATCCTGATTGTATCCTAATTCCGGGAAGTCAAAATTTCGAAATACAAAACACAGAGCCGATGAGAAAGCTTTCGGCCAAAAACGAAAAGAAAAATGATTGTTAGGCCTTTAAATCTAACGAATGTGTTAGGTCTATGATTGGAGGGAATTAATATTTGTAACAACACTAATATTTAGTAATTTGAAATTTGATCATAATTTTTCATGATTGTTGTAAGATTTTTAATGGAGGCAAAATGCTTCTCTCTATTATGTGCTTGATGTATATGTGAGGTTCTAATTTCCGTATTCATTATTATTTTCTTTTTCTAAATTAGCTGCTAGAACCATTCCTTTCTTTGAAGTAGAAGTAACATTTGAACAAGAAATAAATCAAGAATTAAGTGTTAAAAAAGGACAAATTGGTTGAATTAAAACACATATTATGAGAATGGGGATTGGAAATGCAAGTGTGCATCTTCCTTCTGTAGTCCATTAGCAACAATACCAGTCCACAGAGCCATTCACATTCCATTTGACACATATCTAACGACAGGTACTCTCCAACTTGATATCTCAAATAACTTCATTGTCAAATAACTCATTCCTGAAGCAGATACAAGTGATTTTATTTGAAAAATTAAAGTCTGACAATTTTATAACCGTAATAATGATATGCTTTGAAGTTGAGTAGTTTGAAAATTTTTTCTTCTTATATTGCTCTAGGTAACACTTACCAAACTGAATTGAATTAAAGTGAAACTTAATAATTAATTTGCTTCAAAATGTTATCAAGATTGTATGTTCATCTTATGGATGGTCCATTAGGAGATTATCCTGTCTTTTGCCTATCCAAATATTACGGCTTCGTTTCGACTGAGTGATTTAAAGGGATTTGGAAAGAAAAGAAAAAAAAAAGTGTTATAACAAACACAACGAACTCAAGTTGAATCAAGAAACATGATAAAAAAATAAACACGACACACAAAGAATACAAAGATTTATACGTCATTCGGCAACAACCTACGTCCATGGTTGGGATCCGGCGAAAGTTTTCACAATGTGTCAAATCGGAGATTACAAGTTTTTAGCCCCTCGCTCTGTTCCTGTACGAGTTTAAGAGTCTTTTTCTTTCACCACTCCAAACCTTGAGCACACTTATATATTAGGCTACAAGATACTAATTAGGATCTACGACCTATGAGCAAAAAACGGGTCAAAAAATTTTCCTTCGTCGATTGCGACCCGAATTCAAATTCGGGCCACAATATCACAGAAGGATAGTGGAAATCGTGTTTGGATGTGGAGAGAAAATAAAGGATTGGGAGAGATTTGGAGGGATAACTCCCAAAAATGAGAAGATTTGAAGAGAAATGATAGTGAGCAAGTAGTATTTTAATAATACTGAAATTACCTTCTTATAACATTTGACTATTCTTATAACATTTTATAAAAATGTTATGACAATAATTTAATTTTTATGATTTCTTTTCTTTTCTAAACAAGAATATTATCATTTTCTTTCTTTTCTCTCATAATTTATCCAAACATGAATAAAAATTATTATTATCATTATTTATTTATTTTTTTTTCTTATAACTAATGTTATCATTTCTTTTCTTTTTTCTCATATTTATCCAAACGAAGTCTACAAGAATCTTACTTATTATGATTAAAATATGATTACAACTAGATAACACCTTATTTTCTCATTGAAGTGACAAAACACTCATATACCATCGGGCTATCAACGAGTTGGATCAAGATTTTTCCAACTCTGACAAAAATCTAGCTCGATTAAAATTCAACTACATATTTGAATCGTATCCTATGGTTCAAGTACGTATTCAAATTTTAGGATTGTATTATAATTGAATTGAACTTCATTTTTTTTTTTTTTTTTTTTTTTTTTTTTTTTTTTTTTGGGTTTCCAGAAGCTTAAAAGCTGATTAAAAGAAGTTAGATGGTTAGCACTTTGGCATATAACAATACCTCACCGTTGAAAATGTACATTATCACCACTGCTTATGTGCAACAATAATAAATTAATACATCTTCTTTCATTATCAAATTAGAGATGATGTATTACCCCTGCCAGCTCTGATTGGGTAAGTGAATATGTAGCCCACTATCTATTATTTGATAATTAAAGAGGACGTATTCATTTATTGGTCCACATTAGCGGTGAGAACAGTGTACATCCTCTGGTGAGGACCTGAGTATTGTCCAAAGGGAAATATGCAGTCCAAAGAATTTTTTTTTTTCGAGATCTCAGAATGTAGCATCAGGGATTCATAGAATTTCATTTTATTGAACTTTATTTCTCAGCCCATAAATATTTTTTTCTCCGTAAAGAATTTTCCTACACTTTCATTGAGTAGCTATGGTTAGAAACGTTCAAGGATAGCTACTCAATGAAAATGTGCAGACAATGTCGCTTGATTTAGGTATCTTTAATTTTCATTCCATTTTCAAAAATTAAAGGGATCAATATGGCTTTCTAGAATGGTTGTAAAGTATACATCTTTATTTCACTAATATCAATTAATGGGAGATTTTGTAGGAAACGGGGGCATTAAAAACATAAACTTTAGATGAGGTTTGGAATAGATTCTACTAATAATTTTTTGTGGATTTCTAGACAAGCGCGTTTCTCTCCGCAAGGAGATGAACATGGTATATTTACTTTCTCAAATCTGTTTCCGGGTGAATGAATTGGCTCAAAAGTGTGGTTTTTTGATAAGCCTAAATGAGCATGCAAAATGTGGGAAGTATTTGTCCCACATGGAAAAAATGTTAAAACTAATTGAAATTTAAATAAGCTAAATTTGGGTTTGGGCTTGGGCTTGGGCTTGGGCCTAATTGTAAAGTCCAATTATTCTTTTTACTAAATGGAATCTTGGATTGAGCCTTTAATTTTAGGCTGGACTTATTTAAATGGGTGGTTAGTTTTTGAATTTAAATTAAAAGTTATTTTTTTATTTATTTTTTTTTTTCAAAGGATTGCATCTATTTCTAAAGGGTTGCATCTGTTTTTCAAAGAGTTGCATCTGTTTCTAAAGGGTTGCAACTCAAAACCAATAGACATAACTATTCATGTAAACCATCGCAACCTATTGGAGTGGATGTGTCTATTGGTGAACAGACACCATGTGAACCATTGCAACCTATTGGAGTGGATGTGTCTATTGGTGAACAAACACCATGTGACCATTGCAACCGATTGGAGTGGATGTGTCTAGTGTGAAGAGACACATATAAATGGTTGTGTCTAATGATGAAGAGACATACTCAATCCGGAAAGGCACATTAATTAAAAACTACTTTTTAGTTTTTTCTAAAGGGTTGCAACCAATCCGAAAAGGCACCTTGTTGCCTATAAATACCCCCTTTGGATTATTTGCAAATCATTCATTTTTCAATTTCTTCTATCTTCTTCTCTATACTTGAACCCAACCCAAGTGGGTTCAAACCATAGGTTAAGTGGTCCGAACCACTTTAACCCAAATCTAATTTCATCGAGCCATATTAAGATTGGTCCGAACCATTTGGTTCGGATTGCACCCAATTCAATATTTATATAGTATAGATGCATTTTTGAGTTAGAGAGAGTATTACAAGGAGGAGGTTCGCTGTATCCACGAGTTTGTAGTGCTGTTACTGGTGGATGTAGATCGTTGTATCCTAGGAGTAGACGCTACTGAGTCCGTTAGTACCATAGCGGGGCAAATCAGTCTTAAGGACATAGTATCCAAAACTAGACTCGGTCCAGATTCATTCCTTGTATATTATTATTATTTTATTACTTTATTTTGCATATTTAATTAAAATATAGAGTTGCATATTTAATTAATGATTTCTTAGCATATTGTTAATTATCTCATGACATATTAGTATAAGGTTTGTTATAACTTAAATGTCACATGAAGCATATATTTTATTAACATTCTTAAGACAGATTATTCCTTGCGTAGAATTTATTATATGCTTCTATTTCATATATAAAAAAGTAGAGATTATACTAATAATTGAGATATAATAAAATAATGTTATATACATTATTATATGATAATATGCTAAATATTGATGTGTTCAATATTATATGAAATTGAAACATGTTATATAA